CCGACCCGTATAAATGTGACCCGACCCGACCCGTTTAATAAATGGGTCAATGCGATCTAACCCGTTTATTAAACGGGTTACCCGACCCGATCCATATAACCCAAATGGTAGAGAATACTAAACATGTAGTGTGGTTGTAATAGAAACTTGCATATTCTATTGTACTCTTTTAAGTGACTTATGCACACAGAAACCAGGTTACTATTTCTGATATGTTTATAAAGGTTCACTGCAAATTTCTGACCTATGCACATTTGGAGATAAACAAAATAATAAACAAACCATCATCAAAAAATGAAATAGAAACAAAACAAGGCATAGATATTGTACTCTTTTAAGTGAAATTCTTTCAAAATATTGAATGGCTACAATGTCATTCTACATACATAAGCATCAAAAAAAAATTGGAGCAAGATTACTCCCATTAGAATGTTATACAGGTTCACAAACAGATTCATTTCAAGCTCTCTGCAACAAATCCAATTTCACAAACAGGTTCATTTCAAGCTCTCTGCATATTCTATTGCTTTCTTCTTGACGTGTTTAATTCTTTCTTCATCACGCTTTGACTTTTCATAGACGAGATACTTCATGAATAAGAACTGCAAATTATTCGAAAATAATTTGATAAAGAGGGAAACAGCACAAGAAAGTAAAATTGAATGCTGAGAATATCAGAACTTGGTGTAATTTCAGTATTCCTAGAATATGCTACCAAAAAGGTAAACTATTGATTACATACCTCAAATTAGAGATGAATGACCAGAATAATACCTCAATGAAATAGCGAGGACCTGCACATTACAAAAGTTTTAGCGGTACGTGAACCTGAAGGGACTTTAAAAACAAGGAAAAAGAAAACAGTAATGTGCTTCTGAATGAAGCAGAATGGTTGATGCACCGTTGGAAAATGCTACAAACTTACAAAATGTGTGTGAAGGACATTGAACTTGTAATGAAATGGTCATGAAAGTAAGTGGAATTTTCTCATACACGTAGTACTTGTGCATTTATCTAACTAAAATCTCATCTGTATAACCTGACACAAAAACTCTCAGGAGTCAAGAACAGGCATACGAAGAGATTCAACTTGTTTCACTGTTAAACTAACATCAAAGTGTCCAATCCAAACACAAACACTTTGATCACAAATTAAACTATACAAATGAGAAACAATCAACCAGTCTAACTGTAGAACCCCGTAATTTTTATATGAATATATGTGAATTATTAATAAATAAATAATTCTTTTATGATAAATAGCTTGAGGTCATTGATATACATGATAATAAGTTATTTGAGATGATATGAGAGTTTGGGTGTAGAGAACCGAGTACAGGATACAGTAGCAATGTTGAGTGTCAGGTTTTCTTTAACGAAACAATGTGTGCAATGGATGAGGGAAACAATGTAGTACATGAAACATCTAATATGACCAACATCATTATCTTTAAGCAAATAAAAAACTGTAGGAAACGGTAAATAAATGAATCATAATCATGAACTTTTTTTTTTTTTTGTGTTCCAAGGAAAGAAAGAGAAAATACTGAAGCATGACATGTAAGAGAACAAAACATTAACATAAGCATTCCTGAAGATATGCAGAACTGTTGAACTAACTATATCAAAATATGCAGTTGACCACCCAAACACAATTCCAAGAACTTTGGTGAAAAAGCAAGTGTTCTAGATGTTCGCGGGAAAAATCGTTGCTTTCTTTGTAATTGATTCCATTGTCATCTTGAATAACAGTTTTTTTTGAGTTACAAAGATCCGGTCTTTTTATAAGATCCGGTTACAATGAAAATCAAAGAAAATAAACAAAGATTACAACTTTCTCCTTTTGTGTCGAACGAATCGCGAGCTCCTGTTTTGCGGTCGCTCGCTTGTGTGGGTTCTTTGCCTATGCCGGGGTTTATCCATGGACCACCGCGCGATCTAGATCCGGTCGGATCTACGCAGTACGACGGGTATTA